CCCCCCCCCCCGCCCCCAGCCGGTGGGGGGTGGCGTGGGCGGCGTGGGCGCAGGCTGGGCAGGTACAGGTGGGCCGAGGGCCCAGACCTGCCGCAGATGGCCAGGACCCATTGCTAGAGCAGCAAGCACGGTGTGCCTCCCAGCCAGCCCTTAGTGTTGCTGCAGTTTGGCTGTGCGCGTAGGTTTCGCGTTCTGTTTGGATGTGATTTATGGGAAGCGTGAGGGTCTCGATCTGACGAGCTTACGGTAGTGTAACCACACACAGGATGTCCAACAGACCTCTCCACAGCCTGAAAGTTCCTCGCGTCTAGTCCTTGATGAGAAGCCAACTTCTGTCCCCGTACAGTGGCACAGGCACGGCTCATGCTGTGGGTATTGGGATCCTGCAGAGATAGAGTCCCCTCCTGAAGCCTTCCAGGGCCTTCCATTGCATTAGTAAAATCCACAGCTACCTTGTTAGAGCTGGTCTTGCCCTCAGTACTTAAAAGGCGGTGACTACCACCACAGCCACCTCCACCCTGCCCAGTGGCCACCCCAGCCTTAATCTGTCCCGCATTCAGCTGAGTTGGGGGTGGCTGCTTCTCTCCTCATCTGCCTTCATTTCAGATGTAACATTTGAGTTTTGGGCACCAGCAGTTGGCGTAATGGCTATGTCGCTGGACTCTCAAGTATTCGACCGCGGTTCGAGTCCCGGACCCGGTGGCTTAAACTCATGCTGGGCACGTATGCGTGCGTGCCCAAGATCCCAAGAGGAGAGTGGAGAAGAAGGGATTGCGGCGTGGCCATCCCCCCTGGGGGGTGATTTCTCGCTGTCTCTAGCAAAAACTCTCCGAAAAAAAAAGTTTTTTTAAAGTTTACTTGCTCATTCCATGAGAGATATAGGTACCCCCAACTGAGTCCCGCCTGCCCCTGTCCTGGCAGCTTTTGGGTGCAGTGCTGAGAAGTGCTCCCTCAACAGAGGCACCACCCACTGTCCTGCCGTGGGGGCGGGGCCAGACCGATGGGTCTCATGTGTGCAGTGGCCACGCACCCTGAGGTGGTCAGTGTGCCGTGTGTGCACGCGCTGTCACGGCGCTCGGGAGCGCTGCCTGCTCGTGACACCCGGCCTGCATGCATTGTCAAGGGTCTCCCTGTGTTTTCAGGAAGCGTGGTGAAGAGTGACGACTTCGCTCTCCCGAGCTATGTTGACCGCCGTGACTACCCCCTGCCCGATGTGGCCCACGTCAAGCACCTGTCTGCCAGCCAGAAGGCCCTGAAGGAGAAGGAGAAGGCCTCCTGGAGCAGCCTGACCAGGGATGAGAAAGTCGAGTGTGGGTATCGAGGGGCACCCGGGAGCATGGGACGGTGTGAGGGGCAGCTTGGCCCAGCCGGGCTGCTGTGGCTTCTGGGTCCTGTGCTCTGCCAGCTGGCTGGGTCACCTGCCTGGGAGCCTTCCCTGTGCTGTGGGCCCCAGCCCCAGGAGGGGCTGGCGCCGAGAGGCCTCTCTGCCTCGATGGGGCCGCTCAGCCGTTGCAGGACGGCAGCAGCGTCCTCTGCTTGGAGACAACCTTTGCTGTGATCCGAGCGAGTCACTTCTCGGTGGCTTTCTCCCCTACGCAGACCCTGTGCTTCTCCGCTTTGCCCCTGGCACGTCCACGTGAGGGCATGAGCGTGTGCGCACGTGTGAGCCTATTGACGGCCCGGCCCCTTGACCTGTGGCCAAGTCCACAGGTGTGCTGTCTGGGGACGGCGGAGGCAGCCATCGTAACGCTGTCCCCTGCCCGCAGTGTACCGCATTCAGTTTCACGAGAGCTTCGCCGAGATGAACAGGGGCACGAATGAGTGGAAGACGGTGGTGGGCGCTGCCATGTTCTTCATCGGCTTCACCGCGCTGGTTCTGATGTGGGAGAAGCGCTATGGTGAGTGGGGGCGGGCACCTGGGGGAGCCGAGGCTGGGCTGCTTTGGAGCCATAGCTAGGAACCTCCAGGCTGGGGCCGGAGCCCACTCGGGATCGTGCCTGGGTGTTAGGAATCGCTCCTGTCAGCGAAGCGGTGGGGGCTGACTTGGGAGCCAGGACCTGGTTGGTTCGTGGAGTAGAGGCCTCACTCCTCTGAGTGCCACACAGCAGGGCGTGCTCTCCAGTTGGCTGTCAAAGGTGGAGCAGGAAGGAGGTCCTGTACTGGCCTGTACCTTGGCAGCCCGGGTCCCAGGGCTTGGGCTCTGCAGGGCCGCCTGCCCACTCTCCGTGGCTTCTCCTTGGCCCTGTCTGGCAGAGGGAGTCCTGCCTTCTGCCTGGGCTGCTCCTGTCCTGTAGTTTGGGGTAGGTGCCCGAAGACCAGGCCCACTGTTCTCCCAGGCCGCTGCCGGCTCTGCTGCGCGTGGCTTGTACGCTGTCACCTGTGGCCTGCGGGAAGAGGGCTGCCTTAGCGCGATCATTTAGTTGTGATTTTTCTCACATAGACAGTTTAACAGCAGCAAGGGTTGTCAGTGCCCAGGAGCGAGGCGTGGGTCTGAGAGGCAGAGGGCTTTGCTGGCCCGGCTGCCAGTGGGGACCCTCCTGGGTGATGCTGGCTTACACTACCTAAAAGCCACCCTGTCTGGGACTGTAGTGTACGGCCCTATCCCGCACACCTTCGACAAGGACTGGGTGGCCATGCAGACCAAGAGGATGCTGGACATGAAGGTCAGCCCCATCCAGGGCTTCTCCGCCAAGTGGGACTACGACAAGAACGAGTGGAAGAAGTGAGCCGCACTCCCACCGGCGCCGCCCTCCGTCCGTCCCCGCGCGGCTCCGTGTACCTGTTGGAGACTTGTGGCAAGTTGCCCGTGCGAATAAACGACCAGTTTACCTGATGCCCTCTGTGCTCGGTTCTTCGTGGGTCACTGCGTGGGAGGGCTTGCTGTTGAACGTGATAAGTTTTCTCCCGTGTCAGATACATTTTGTAAATATTGGTGTAAGTGAAGCGACAAAAGCTTTCTACCTTAAATTGTCCAAGGAAGGGGGGGCATAATAGAGAAGTGAGAAATTGATACTCCAAGGACTCATTGGGTTTTAGATGAGATGTTTTATATGAGAGTAAAATCCCACGATAGTTGCGGAGTGGCCACGAGTCATTTTACTTCTGGACTGTCCCTCCCTCCCTGACGCTGTCCGTGTGCAGTGAGTGGCCAGGACCGGCATGAGGCACAGGTACTCCCTGACGTGTCTCGGGGGGACGGGGCCTACACACCTCAGGCCTGTCCTGGTCTCTGGCTGCGAGCCTGCTTGAGAAGCTGAGGGCAGGCAGTGAGGCTCAGGTTTGCTGGCGCTGGGCTGGCCCTGGCTGCTCCCTGCAGGGCTTTCCTGCCCCTCCCAGCCCCGCTCACCCTCAGCCCCTGGAGGCCCTGCCTGGAGCAGCAGGACAGACCCCCCTGCAGCCCCTGTCACCTGCACCCAGGGAGTGGCAGAGGGCGGTGCAGAGGGTCTCCTGCCAGCTTTGGCGGGTGGGTGGGAGGCGATGATCCCAGAGAGAGCCTGGGGGTAACTGATGGGAAGGGAATGGGAGCTATAGAGCTGGGCCAGAGGAATTCACAGGCCACGGGCTACAGGGCAGCGGAGGGTTTGAACTAACCAATGCAGAACCGAGAGTGGGTTAACTGCACAGCTGCAGCCCCTTCTCTGCACTGGGCTATGCCACTTCCAGCTTCGTCCCCAGGTTGGGCTCCTGCTCCAGGGCTGAAGTGCCATCCTGGCCCTTGGTGGCCATAGCCTGCTCATCGAGGCTCCTTCCTAGGGCTAGAGGCAGAGGGGCCACTGAGTGCATTTGAACCCGCTACCAAGGCCGCTCGGACCGCAAACTGCTTTAACCTGGAGCAATAGCTCTGAGTGGTGCCCAGGGAGCTAGTGTTGTCCCTTCCATGGAGTGGGCAGGCTCTCCCTGTTGTCTCCCACCCAGGAACCCGCTTTCCTGCCACTCGGGCACCGGTTTCAGATACCAAGCTGGCTGTCGACTGTCGGTGGGAAACTGGGAGGGAACAGGGGCTGATGGCTAGGTGCAACCTGGGCTCTGAGGTTGGAGGAGGGCCCCGCGTGCTGGGAGGTGTCACTGGGAGAGGTCAGGGATGTCGGTGAGCACACCCTTGGCCCTCAGGTGAGTGAGATGTGTCCGTATCTGACAGCAGATCTGGGCATGCCCTGAGAGCTGGAGGGTCCCACGAGGGAGACTCTAAGGGGATTTGCAGGTGGGCTGTTCCCATCAGGGCAGGTGAGGTCAGGTGGTAGGTGGTGCTGCCCAACCATGAGGCAGGGAGGAGGACAGGTGTGGAGGCCCTGGGCAGGTTAGGGTTGGCCCAAGCATGTTACAGGGAAGGGGGTGAGGTTGGAGAGACCAGATGCTGTTGAGAATCTCGTTTTTTAAAATTTTTTGTTAGGGCTTATGTGCTTGCCAGAGAGAGATGGAGAGACAACAAGAAATCACCTCCCAGGGGTCATGACTGTGCTGCAATCTCTTCCCCTCCATTCTCCTCTCAGAATTTTGGGCATGCGTGCACATAGGCCCGGTGTGAGTTTTAAGGTGTAGGGTCTGGGACTCGAACTGCAGTCAGCTATGTGGGAATCCAGTAGTGTAACCATTATGCCATCAGCTGGTCCACCCCCCTCCCTGCTCTCTTAAAAAGTTTGTTTATTCCTGGAGAGAGAGAGAGACGGGTTCTCCCAGCACGGGTCTCAGGCCAGACCCTCCTTTGGACTCACCTGACCAGATTGCAGCTCACATTGGGCATGCCCGGGGAAATCCCAGGCAGGAACCCCGACTTCCCCCTGGGTGCAGTTGCATTACCGCGGTGCCCCTTTTAAGCTCTCTACCACTCCAATGGCCTAGTTAACAATTTTAATGTAGTTAATTGTGCAGGTTTAATTACCTAGTTCTCTGAATTAAGTCATTTTCTGTGCAAGAAAGAGCCCTGGAGTTCCACTGCTGCATCCTGACAGACGTGCATTCTGGTTGGTGTATTTTTCTTTTTTTTTAATTTGGTATAGAGTGCGTGTGCTTGCCAGAGATAGTGAGAAAACTGTCCCTAGAGGGAAATCCACACCATTATTCTTTCTCTTCTCTCTGGCTTTTGGGCACCAATGCACCTATGCCTGGCATGTCTCAAGCCACCAAGTCTGGGACTTGAACTGCGTAGTCGGCTACATGGACTCCAACGCCTTCACCATGCCACCAGCTGGCCTGCCGTCTGAGCTTTTTGTTCTCCCAGTCCCACCTGGAAGATGTTAACAAGCTTATTTTGCTTACAACCAGTTTCTCCTTTCTCATTTCCTCACCCATGGCTTCCAGTATTTATAAATAATCTCTTGTTTTCTTTCTGTTCCGTTAATTTGTGTTTTCGATTACTCCTTTTACTTTCTTTGGGTTTATTTGATGTTTTTCTAACTTCCTGAATTGTATTCTAAACTCAGTACTTATCAGCCTTTTTTTCCCTCCCCTTTTCTGAGGAATGCATTTGATTTATGAAGTCTCCCTTCCGACAACTTTTTTGCAACAGGGTGTGTACCAAGAGTCCCCAGTGGGGCCTGAAGATGCCATAATCAGGTCGTCATCCATCAGGATCTCCGGCAGGCACAGGTCTGTCATGTACGAGCTGCCAGGTGCAGGGCAGGGACGCCGGCCCTGCTGAGCCATGTGGGCTCCAATCTGATCTCGTCCTGCTTAACTGCTGTGCCAGCCACAGGGCTAGCCAGGGTTCTGACAGCTTTCACAGCCTGCAGGTCGAGTTCGGCTGATATTCTGGCTATTTGTGTGGTCTATCTTTGTGTGTGTGTGTGTGTGTGTGTATATACACCTGTACACACTATACATGTATATACAGTATATATATGCATACATACACTATACACATACACTGTATATGTACATATACACTATATACACTGTATATGTACATACACTATACACATACACACACTATATATGTACATATACACACTATACACACTATATGCACATACACTATGCATACACACTATATGTACATATACAGACTATATACACACTATACATATATACACTACATACAATATAGATATACACACTATATACATATACTATATATGTACATACACACACTATGTGCATACACTACATATGTGCACACTGCATATGTACATGTACATGCTATATATGTACATATACACTATATACACATACTATATATGTACATACGCTATATGTACACACACTATGTACATATGCACACACTATATATGTACATATGTACACCATAAATGTACATATACACACTATACATGTACACACAATATATGTACACATACACACTATATATATACACATATACTACATATACACACTATAATACACTATATGTACATACACATATACGTACATATACACACTATACACACACTATATGTACACACACATATACACTATAAGTACATATACACACTATATGTCCAAAAACACTAAATATATATGCATATACACATATGTACATAAATTATATATATATGTGCATACACTATGTACATATGCACACAGTATATACATATACACACACTATATATGTACATACACACTATATGTGCATACACTATGTACATATGCATACACTAAATGCACATATATACACTGTACATATACATACTATATATGTACATATGCACACTATATACACGAACATACATGCTATGTACATATACATACTATACATGCACACACTATATATGTACATACACTGCACATATGCACACACGACACATACTATATATGTACATATACACTATATGTACATGCACACTATACACACATACACAATATACATATACACACTATTGTACACACACTATGTACATATACACACTGTATACACGTTAACATGCACTATATACACACTATGCATATACACACTATATACATGTACATACACTAGGTACATATACACACTATATGTACAAATACACTGTGCATACACTACATATGCACACACTATATACATGTATACACACACTATGTACATGCACACACTATGTGTGCATACACTATATGTACATATGCACACTATATGCACATGTACACAAACTAATATATGTACATATACACAGCATATATACACACATACTATATATGTACATACACTGTACATATACACACTTTATATACACACATTCTACATATACACACTGCAGACACACATTATATACATACTACATATATACACTATATATACACACACACACATATATACATACACTAGATATACACACTATACACACAGTATATATAATATACCACACTATATATGTACTCACACACACTATATATATGCACACTAAAATATATGTACAAACTATATATACACACTGTACCTACACACACTATATACACATAGACACTATAATGTACACACACTATGTACTTACAGTATATATATAAGTATACACACACTAAAATATATGTACAAACACTATATATATACACACATATACACACTATATATAATGTACTCACACTATACACACTATATATATAAGCATACACTATTATATACACACACTATATACGTACTTACACTATATATATGCATAATGACACTAAAATACATGTACAAATACACTATATACATATACACACTATATAATATACACACTATATATACACACTATAATATACACACTACATATGTACTTACACTATATAGTCACACACTAGAATATACACACTCTATAATATACACACATGCACATTATACATGTACTTACTATATATAAATATACACACACTGAAATATATGTACATATACATACATGTATATATGTATGTATCCATGCACACACGTGCAGACACATTTTGTCA